CAGCGCGGGACAAGGGGGTCTGATGGCGTAAGGCTGGCTCTGCCCGCGCGCATTGCAGCATTGGGGAGTAGCCCTCTTCGCACTGAATGCGTGTCCGATGTTAAAGGGGCCCCCGGAGCTTTCTGAGATCGTAAGTTTATGTTATTATATTGCGTAGTGGGTGCAAGTTAATATGTATACAAAGTTTTAGATTACAAAACCGCTTATTAAGCAGATGGGAGTAGAAATATATCGGGACTATTTTCTCTTGGAAGACAATCCCCCATTCCCTGCCCATCGCTAAAACTTGACCAATGGAAATGCTGCATCTCGCGGGGAATGCGAACGTTATTATTGCAACACTTTTTAAGCTTGTTGCAAAGTAGAGTTTGAGAAAAACGTAAACTGATTGTGGTGCGGGAAACATAGGCCGCAATTATCGTTCCAAAACCAGCGAACTATGTTTTCTCCCCGCAAGCTTGTTGCTAGGGGGTGATGTGTCGGCGCTTCGGCTCGTCTGCTTCCCGGGGCGTGTGCAGGCGTGTGTTTGCGGGACACGTGTTCCTTCTTCCCGTGGATCCCGACTCCGAAGCCAGCTTTGCGATCCTTCCACGTCAGCCAGTCATACTTTTCCTTGTCATCTGTGGAATGCGACTGCGTATTGCAGTAGCAGCGCGACGGTGCGGTGCGACGAACGACGACTGCCGAGCACAATGTCCGGGCTCCTTGACGACGGTCCGCGCGTGTTCGAGAGATTCCTCGGCGGGTCGGCGGTCGGCCACGTTGGTGACGCGCAGTGACGCCAGAATCCTTTGCTTGCTATTGGCTGACGCGTAAAGAGATGCCCCTCCCGTTTTCCGGGCTCATCTCAGAAAAGGGGGCGTGCCCGGGACTTTGATAGCAATTTTAATAGTGAAATCCGCCGCGCATGAGCGTAATGTTATGATTTTTAGGATCCTTAGGGCCTGTAGATTGAGTTACCGCCATAAATACACCATCGCAGAACGCTCCGGAGGGCCCCTTTAAAGTCGCTGCATATACCGCTTCTTTTAGAGCGCAGCTCTTAGGCGCCCGTTTCCGGCCTGAGCGGCGTCGCCGTCGGCGTAACCAAGGTCACTCCAAGGTCACGTGACCCCCAAAGTCACGTGACCCCCAAAGCCGCGCGACCCCTCCCCCAGGGTCATGTGACCCCCTCCCTCGAGGTCACGTGACTCCCCCTCCCCGAGGTCACGTGACCCCCTCCCCCCGTCGGCGTCGGCGTAACCGCGAGTAACCCTCGTAGCCCTCGTGAGGGTTACTCTCACGAGGGTTACCCTCACGAGGATCATGAGGGCTACGAGGGTTAGTTGCCCTCAAAAGGGTTACCCTCACGAGGGTCACAAGGTTTATGAGAGTTACCTTCACGAGGGTTATGAGAGTTACCCTCACGAGGGTCACGAGAGTTACCCCACGAGGGTCACGAGAGTTACCCTCAAAAGGGTTACTAGGGTTACCCTCACGAGGGTCGCGATGGTTACCCAGGTCACGTGACCCCCACCTCCCAAGGTCACGTGATCCCCTCCCCCAAGGTCACGTGACCCCCGTTGACGTAATCGCCACTAATGACGTCACTGATGACGTCACCGGCATCCGCATCGTCATCGTCATCATCACTGATGACGTCATTAGTGACGTCACCGATGACGTCACCGGCATCCGCATCGTCATCCTCATCATCACTGATGACGTCATCAGTGACGTCACTGATGACGTCACCGGCATCCGCATCGTCACGTGACCCCCCGATGTCACGTGACACCCCACAGTCACGTGACCCCTACAAGGTCACGTGACCCCCCAAAGTCACTTGACCCACCCCCCAGTGCCCTTCCCTCCTCCTCCTCAAGAGCTGCGCTCTAATTCGGCGTTACAGGGAGTTGTAAACGGCTTTCATTCTTTCTCTCTATCGACTCGCCAATTATCACTTCCACTCGTGCCCCGACGAGCGCCATGGCCGGCAACCTCCTCACGAAGCCATACTTACTTTTTTATTTTTATTTTTATTTCGAGTGCCTTTTGTACTTGGGGACCATTACGTGTCAAGCTTAGAAACACTCTGTGCACACATGCTAAAACATGATGCCCTGTTTTTCTTGGGCCAGTGTGCACTGCGTGCTGCACCTTGTATACAGTCTTGGGTAAGTTACTTTTAAAAAGTAATTAGTTACAGTTACATATAGTTTGTCAAATTTGGTGAGTTCAGGCTTCTGTCTTTTAGGTTTGTTTACGAGAATAACCCGCCATTCCTAGAAGCCCTCGTGTCTTGTTAGGCTTTACACCTCTATTGTGCGTTCAAAACGTGAGTTCGGTTCCTTGGTCATGAACTGTTTGAGTGTAGCAGGCTCTGAGAAGTTAGAACATGTTCAGAGGAAGCGGGAACGCATTGTGTACGACCGTTATTACGGCTGCCGGATTTTTTTTTACTCACGAGTCAATGTTACACAGGCTGAATTTGCAGACACTAGTAGCTCGTCGAAATTTTCGAGAATCTGCATTTTTGCACAAAGCTGTGTATGGAACGTTAAGTTGTTACATTTACATTTACAGTTACTTCGTCATAGTAACTTAGTTACTTTCAAGATACTTTCGTTTTTGTTATTTTTTAATTCAGCCGTGAAAACATTGATAGCAACAAACAATGACTACGATTTATATTTCCTTATGGAACCCTCAGAAAACTCATTTACCGTCGCACGACTTGATTGATTCAAAGCGTTTGCTGCTTCGACACAAGATGTCCAAAAAATAAATTCTTTAGTTGATGTCGTAACGCAGCAACAGCTGATCTTAAAAGATCACCTAACTTTCCCCTTTCGAGGCTGAACACGTCGCGCCACTTGCTAAAGAGGCGCTCAACGGGTACGCTGAACGGCAGTGCAGTATTTAAACGTAGGAAAACTTTCCTAACGGTGAGAAAGCCGTTGAGGCGAAAGGCGCTGCCGAGGTTTCAGCTTTCCATCGTTCCGTCTTCATGCCAGCTGGAGTGTCTACAAATGAAAGTCGAAACTCACCCCGACGTGCTTGCGAAGGTTGGAGGAAGAGGACCTCCCGGGCTGCGTATACTTTTGTGCAGTGTCTCCAGCGGGCAGTGAGGTTACCGCCGCCATATTCGACAAGGTCAAAGTAAAGTTCATAGCCGGGCCAAGGTAACGCCTGCCGTTCGTCACTCATGGCAGCCTCACGTTTGAGCCAGAACGGTTAATTATCTTTTAACTATTTTTCTTCTTTCTTGCGATGTTCTCTCGCCCTTCCTTTGAGAGCTCTTTTATTCCCCTTTCGTAGCTGACAGGAGAGGGAGATGCCGATGACCAGACAGGTACATTACAATAATAGGGGGGGGGGGGGGGGGGAGCAGAAGGCCAAACTATTTGAAACTGAATAAAGTGGAGAATACCGTTAGTATCAGACAAGGTTAAGAGAGGAGGGAGCGAAAACTACACGAAATCGTCTCGTTATGCGTTCCGTTTTTTTTTTTTTTTTGTTTTTTTTTTTTCGTTTTTTTTTTTTTTTTTTTTTTTGTGCAACGCACATCAAAAGACACGACCGTTGATCACGGGCTCATGGCCCCTAGGTTAGGGCAAGTCGACCAGCAGAAGCATCGTCTGTGGCACCGGTCAGGCAGTATTTACTGGCGGCGACTCGCTTTCGCAAAGAAGGCTAGCCGCGACTGCTGCGGCACCGCCGACTGAGGCTCTCGTTCGGCGTTACACAGTTCACCGTGAAGTGTCTACGGGTCGCGTGTTTTCGCGAGGTGGCTTTGTCGCTTGGCTGAAGAGGCCGAAAAGGGTGAAAAGCCGGGGCGAGAGAGCCACGTACAAAAAGTTTGAAAAAAAGCAAATGCTAAATGCGCTTTTCCCTACGACGAAAAAGGAAAACCAGAACTATAAAGACGTCTGCCCTCTTCGCCGACACTTTGCTGAGCTCCGACGAAAAAATGCCGAGTTCTTGTTTTATTCTGTCCCGTCTAATGTGGGCCCAACCTTCGCACATGGTCGAACCAGCTGTAGTGTTTACACTATGGGGTAATTTTTTCACGAAAAGTATTTGTATCTTTGCAGATATTTTTAGTTACTTTTTTTTAGAATAGTATTAAGTTATTGTTGCAGTCACTTCAAAAAAATGTATCGAGTTACAGTTAAAAGATAGTAAAAAGGTTCGAGGTTCACCTAAGCACTTATGAGTTGTGAATGCGATAGCCTGCACGACGCCCTTCCGCTCCCTTCTTTTGTCTGCGTCGTACTTGCGTCGACGGTCGAGCGCGCGCGCTGTCCTCGGGCGCGCTGGACTTGGGCGTGGAGCGTTGGAGCCGCTGCCTCGCGAACATGCAGCGCCATGGGGTGGCGGTCGTTGAAACTGACGCGCAGCGGCCAATGGGAGTCTCGTAGACGCGCGCCAGTATATGGAAACGAAGCCGAAATCCATCAGCTTCAGTCCGCTCCTTTGGGATCGGGGAACCTAGGTTTCATTTCGCTAGGCTTTTCGCGTGGTTCCATAGCTGGGAGCTGGCTTCACTTGGAGAAAGGGTTTAAGGTGCCGTTTGACACGGCTTCAAAGCTGATGACGTCGGCTCGCTCCATGGGCGTTCGCAGTACTTTTTCAAAAAAGTGCTACACCCCTCCCACCTCCCCGCCCCGTCACCTTGCTCGTACGTCATACAAAAAAAAACTGTTCGCTGCAGGCATGATGACATCTGCGGTCACGGCTCAAGCATGTTCTAAACATGTGTGTGCTTGAAACATGTCTTCAGACAGTTTCTGCATGATCAATGTTACATGGCCGTCATACAAAAAAGAAGTAGGCCTCAGAAAGTGTCTGCAGACTGCCACTAACAGTGTGACCGCTACGTAAGAGTACGCCACCGAAACACTTTGTCGCCAATACCCCCGGAATCCCAAGGGGGAGGAAGGGGGCCTTGCACCCCATTTCGGACGCCTGCACCCGTGTACTAACCACACTCTCGGTCCTGTGTCTGTCCGTCGCAGGGGGCTGGCTGTACGGCCCTGGTTGTTGCTGTGATAGCGCGGAAGCTGGAGCTCACCCGAGCTGAGAAACACGTCCACAATTTCATGATGGACACTCAGCTAACGAAACGAGTGAGTATAACTATTTGATAACTCTAATGTTGCTTCAACTGTGTGTGTTGTGTGTGTGTGCTAGTGAGGCAAAACTATCGAAGAAAGGACTATCGATCATTTTTCCAAAACTATTTATAGTAGGCAATTGATAGTACTATCGATAGTTGACTATCGATAGTCGGATATTGATAGTGGTATGGTTAGGGTTTAGTCGACTATCGATATTATGGAAAGTCAGCTTTCAGGAAAGGTATGGGGTGTTAGGAAAATTAAGGCACTATGCAAAAATGGAATGACGACGGATATGTGCGGGCGGACAACGCGCGGTTTTAGGGAAAAACATGAAATTAAAACGAAATAAAACATAGAGTTGCATTCTCGTGCAATTAATATAAAGGTAAAAAGGGAATGGTGGTCTGCTCGTTTTCCAGGGCACGTATTATGTATTAAACAAAAATATTAAAAATTAAACAAAGATGATGATTTTCGTGTTTCACGGTCTAGAGGTTGTTTTCTATTCCTTCAAAAAAATAGTATCGTATATAGCTCAAATGCATTACCTTTGTTTAATCTTTATTATTTTTGTTTTGGTCAACTCTATTTTAGTCCTTTTAGTCTAAGAAGCTCCTTTCTTAGAACGCCCCGGCTAGAATTAGAATTATTTCATCTCATTTTTTCTACATCATCCCCTTCCTTCACCTTCTATTTTCTCGTTGTATATAAAACCGTCAGTTGTGAGTCGGTCCCTGTCTTAGCGCTATTTGTAATTTAGTAGGTGTAACCAACTAGCCCGCCTAAATATTGTGACTGCTGTCTCAGTAAAATAGCTTAGTTTTTAAAAAGACAAGATTTGCGGTATTGAAGGAAGCTGAAGTTTCGATGATGATCTTTGTACGCACCATCAGCCATGTTTATCAAAACCGGGAATAAGTCAACGCCCGCGACTCTGACGGTACCATACCTGGTGTGACGTCACGGCACGATCAGCCATGCATTCTTGCGAAATTTGGCATGCAGTTTCGTACTGATGCTAATAATTGATTTAATAAACATTGGGGTGTCTTTTAATGAAAAAAATATCACGTGTGACTATATTTGTTCCCGCTCTACATGTCCAGCGCAAAGACTTAGTAACTTCCGGATATCACCGGGATATCATCCTTTAACTGGTTCAATGATAAATACTAAAACCGAAAATATATTTTCATTCAAGTAAGGATGTTTTCTTGCAATGCGAGATCATTTCAGCGAAAAAGGCTTGTTAACCCGAAAGACAATATTGATTCCTTTCTTTCTTGTAACCTCTGTTTCGAAAACAAAACACGCCACACTTATCTCTTCATTCGGGTTAAGTCATGTCCCCATACTTTCGCATTCGATCACCATCGCTAGCATTATATTCAAGTAAGGTCCCGGATTTGTGCAACGCATATATAATGTACTTATCCGGGACGACAGGGATATCTATTTTTTCTATTGAGCTCATAAAAAGCAAAGGGCACACCACACAAAGCAATCTAATATAGCAAAGCAACTTCGACAACTTAGCAAGTTTATATCGTTTATTCATAGTTTTTCAATTGTATACAATAGATATTTTCGGAGTTTATTGTGAATAGTTTTTAAGAAGGATTTGTTTCGTTTTGTGATTGTTTTCAAATAGGTGCCCAAAATGCGGAGAATACTCTTCAATCCCTCACTGCACCTGCTGGTCTTGTAAACCACCCACCCTTCCCCGAACCCTCTCACACATCATTTTTCGGGAGGAAAGGCTGGCTTCACCCACGGGCACCGACATACCCACCGTACTAGAAACACTACTTAATAGAGAGTTTTCGTAGATCGTTTTCGCCGTCCCGCAAGGCCCTCCGCAACCCGCTACGATAGCGGGAACTCCACAGTCAAGGCTATCGGCGCGCAGGCGCAGTAGCAACTTCTTCGTTGCGGAACGCTTAGCGGAAGGGGCAGCGCGGTCTACGAAAACTCCCTAATCACTCCGGTCCCCTTGCGGAATCCATCCGCGAGACGTGGGCCGGACGGGACGTCCGGACCAGGACGTAGGCCCCTATACAAAATAAAGTTTTTGCTTGCTTGCTTCAAATAGGTTGTAGATTGTTCCTCGATAATTGTACGGAAGTCTCTAATAGACCGACTTCACTAAGCGTTCGGCGCATGCGTAGCGCCGCCATAACTTTAGCTCACAAGAGGCAGACAGCTGTGCATGCGAAGGCTCGTGCCGTCTCGTGCTCCACACGTGCAGAGCTCCAGCGGCGGCGACAAACGTGCAGAAAGACTAAAGCTTACTCTATACATTGCGGCAGCGGTGGCGTTGTCAAACTGGCTGGTGAGACTGGTCTATTGCAGTTGCGTTTTTTCCGAGATACACAACATTTCTTGGACGTTTTTCACCCGTCACCATATAAAACCCCATCGATAGCATTTGAATGGTTGGATATTGATAGTTTCTCGATATTCGAGTATAAACAATTTCGCATAGTCGACTATTCATAGTATGCTATCGAGTTTCGCGATAGTTTTACGATAGTAGATTATGGATAGTTTACTATCGAGAGTAGTGTCTGTAGTATACTACCGACAGTTTTGCAGTAGTCGAATATAGATAGCACAAACGATAGTTAATTTGACCTCCACTATCGATAGTACGATAGTTTTATTGATAGTTTTGCAACATTGGTGTGTTTGTCTGTATATGTGTGCTTTTTCTCTTTTTATATACAGAACGTGTTTGCGAATAGAGTCACTGACAGACTAGGAATGGCAGCACGTGTTTTACTAACGCCCCGCCTCCAGCGCGCGCTCAATGCCTTCAGCCGTGCTTCGGCTGGGCGCGCGCGCCAGATGAACGAGACGTTGAAGCACTGTCGAAGGCAGGAAGCTCGCGCTAGAGTCGGTACAACTGAAGAGTTGAAGTCTGTGATTGGCCACACCGTAGCTTCCTGTACACTGATGATGCCTTCCCAATCGCCGGTTCACGGCGAGGTAAATACCCGCTAATCACGACGAGGCAAATCGTTCTCGCTACGTCATGACCTGAATCCATCAGAGGGCGCCACCGAAATGTATCGGCGCTGATAAGGTTGTTGTTGTAAAGAAAAATCTTTTATTGAATCTAATAAGTATAGAAAGAAAAAGAGAACAATGGGTGGCTTCCTTTATTCTGGGGCTCAACCGGCCTTGGACGCTATTGCCGTTCTCTTTGGCAGCCGTAGCTGTTGGCTGAGGCCCTCGCTGCGTAACGTGGCCTCCTATTCTTTCGTTGTCGGGTTCGTTAACGGCACTAGGCCTGGGACTTTATCATAAGATTTCGTTAAAAAAAGGGTCACGAAACATTTTAACGCAAAATTGTGAGAAGTAATAGACCGATCTCACTACGCGTTCCACGCACGCGTGACGCCGCTTTATTTATTTATTCGCTTGATTTATTTATTCCAAATAAATCAAAGGAAAATAGTCCTGTCCAAACTATTTACACAAACACGCAAATACCATGACATTTAGTTTATTTGTGAGGCACTTAAAATTGCGATTGAAGACACCTCTAGTACGTACTACCATTCGTTCTCTCACTTCTATTTTCTAGATAATTTTAAGTGAACAAAATTGCTTTAAAATGCACAGAAAACGGTAAAAATTGTAATAATCGTAATCGTAATAGATTTTATCAACGATCTCCAGCGCTCTCATGGGAAAATTCAAGAGCCGTGGAGCTTTCAGTACATCTTCATAATGACAATGCTAAAAAAAAACACTCTCCTGCGTTTCTGAAACTCAAGTTTGTGTAGCGAAATCTACCCAGTGAGTGACGAATGGGACACGACCACCGACCCCGACGGTGCTTAGGTTCGAAATGCCGCTCGTGCCATCTTACCTCGCGTTCACCCCTCCGAGCCATCCTTATCTTCTTCAATTCCCCAAAAGGTATACACCATTGTAATTTTCTTGCTAAACGGTGCGGGTAAACGCTTCACCCCTAAGTTCAGCGGAAAATTCCAGCATACAAAGTTCCACCTAGCAATCTGTGCACCTTAGCTATAGAGGGATAAAGCAACCCCAAGAGCTTTGTTTTATGTCTGTGATTTCTTTCTCCAAAGTGGATTTGCTCCTTGAAACTGTCCGAATATGCACATGAATAAGCCCACTGATCAAATGGGAATGAAGGTGAGAAAGTAGCCGAAAAACGAAATTTCTCGGCGTCTTGACATAGGCAAGACACAAAAGCAAGTGGGTAGGTGAGCTGGTGACAAACAAACATCTTGAGACAGGCAAAATAGGATAACATGGAAACACAAACGATATGTCTTAAAGCGAAGCTGCTGAGGACTAGTTTCCCCATATCGTGTCCTTCCCAAATGACCTAATGACACAGAACTCTGGAAAGATACCGCCATCTATGAGCGACGGTGGCAACCAGACAACAGGCTTCCCGGTTGTCTGGTTGCCACCGTTGCTCATAGATGGCGGCAACCTTTCAAGCCTTTCCACTCTGGCTTCCCGACTTGCGGCCGGCCATTACTTCATTTCCACCATAGCACAGCTTCGCTGGTCTTCCTTCTTCACGAAAGTAGAAAGGCTGAATTTTTTTTTCGTCATCTCATTTTTGTTTTTGTCCTTTATTATACTATACAAGTGTTATGCATCAAAATGTTGTTTGAGAGGAAAGAAGCCAGACAAATATTGTTTATACTGTTTTCTAAAAAAGTAGAGTTTCATCCACAAAAGTTTAAAGTTTCATGGGGATAGGAGAACTATCCGACTAATTAGGAGAGGTAGGTTTTGCCAGTTATACGATTTTTTATATAGTCAAATAGAACTGTATAATTTCGCTAAAAATTGTCGCCTTTAAGTTTTCGGTATGGACATTTGTTAGTGAGCCTCGCAAACGTGCCGGTGTATGGTGCTCAATGAAACCTTGGAAAAGTGCAATTGTAGCCCCGACAATGTATTTTCGACCCCGAGACTTTAATATTGACGGATGCATAGATAAATACGACTGAAAAACTTCTTATCGTGTAGTGGCTCTTGCAATCTAACCAGTGTTTTCAAATTTTGACAGTTTCACCTTCGTACATTTTCTTCCTTCTACTGTTCAAAGCTCTGAGGCCCATGTCTCTGCAATCCGAACTTTAGCAATCTTGATAAGAACGGCATAAAAAAATGTCCAAAACCCAATTTGATCACTCAAAGCATTTCTCATGTCAATATATTTTTTCCTTTTTTGTTTCTTTTTGCAGCTTAAAAACGCAGCGGCCAACGTACTACGCGAGACGTGGCTCATCTACAAAAACACGAGACTCGTGAAACGCGTCAACCCTTCCAAAGTGAGAGCGCACCAGCGCAAATTCCTCCTCGCCATATACAGGTAAGACGTCCTGCGAGTCTACTTGCCCTGTTGGCTTATTGTTATTTTTACGGGTGTGCTAAACAGTGTGAATGCTGCTTTGAATTCAATAGCGCAGTGTCATTTCCTAGCTCCCACACTGCAAAAAGCCCTCACATGTCTTGGCTCACCCTTGCCCTGTGGAGGCTATAAATGACGCAACGACAATCGATTTCACCCTTTATTCGCACACCCTTGCTTCTTTATGACAAACACAACGAGGTAGAGGGCCTTAGAGCGATAAACTGACAGCTGAAAGTGACCACCAATTGACCGCCGCCATGTTGCACATTTTCAACCACTAGACACGTGACCTTATAGTTTTACGTCTAGATTTTAACGAAGTATCGCGCACAAATAATTGCTTACTGACCTTTAATACCAGTACCGACGAGATAAGTTATGTTTCGTTTAAGTCCAAAATGTATTTTCACGACAAAAACACGGGCAGCTTTGCAATGCCTCTGCTAGATGCCGTTAGCCGTGGTGCTGTATTTGGGGGTTTTCTCAGAGCTAGACACTAACCTCTGGGGTTAACAGTATGGGAAAAAATAGTTTATCATGTTTTTTACACCGATTTCAATACAAATCTCAGCTCAGCTTTCCGTAAAAACTTCAGGTTTTGGAACGGCCCTAGGTGTCTACTGGTCAAAATTGAACATGACGCCATCCCAGTGGGTGTCACCTTTGCCTGGTGAACGGGATACCTGTTCATCGCTCTAAGGCCTCTACCTCGTTGAACAAACACTATGTGCGCCCACCAACAACCAGGTGGCGCCACCACTCTTCGCATAATAGTGCTGTCGCCTACCGCGTTTTTTGCGCTCTTGGGGCGTTCTTTCAGTGCATTAAAGCTAGGGCCATCTCTCGGTGTTTATTTGCACTATTGGGTCGGTTGCTAAATTGCCACACCGAGGCGCAGCTTGTACCTTAAATATTTAGTGCTTGACTTTTAAAAATCCCAAAAAAATTAATTTATGGCGTTTCAAAAAAAAAAAAAATATATATATATATATATATATATATATATATATATATATATATATATATATATATATATATATATATATATATATATATATATATCTTTATTTGCTTGTCACATACAAAAAAACATTCAAAATTACAGTAAAGTTCGTGGCACTATACTTTATTCCGGAGTGTAAGGACAATTTATTTTGCTTAAAATGACTAGCAGATATGCAACGCAAAAAAAAATAAAAACAGGTATATTTGTTTCCTTTACGTTGATATTAGATCCAACCAGATGAGAAATACCCTTCGGGTCTTTATGTCGTTTATTTTTATATTTTCTTAATATTTGGGTATTGGTTTCGTTTCCTTGTAAGACAGTTTGATCTATTTTGTTCATTAAGTTTAGTTTATCCAGCGATAGTTGCCAACGGCAACCTTGTTAGAGTGATTTATGAAGTAATAGTTTCTTGGGTGTCTTTCTTCATCCTGGAGTCACGTACCTTTAGTTTTTTAGGCTTTACAGAGTTGTTTTGAAAAGTTGTGAAAGCTACGCAAATAATGCAGTCTGCGCGTGAGTTATACGGTCAGGAGAACATATTATAGGGGATAATCGTTAAAGTTGGTCCAATAATTAACTAAATATCGTTACCTTTGTAATCAATGAAAACAAACATATAGTTCAAATGAAAAGTTCTATGAACATCATTGATAACCATAAACATTGTAAATTTTAGAATTATTTAGAGCGCACGGGAAGCTCGGAAGTGCGCTAAGTTACCACTTGTGTAACAAGCACAAAGCTGTCGGTGCAAACAGGCACCCGCGTGGTTTGTCAGTCTCTTATCCTCAGCATTTCGCACTGCTAGCTTTGCGCCTGTTGATAACTTTATCTTTTCCGAGCTTCGCACGTGCTCCAGATCGTTCTAAAATGTACTGATTTAGGGGTTTTCAGTGACGTTCCTGAAGTTTGTTATTGAAACCAAGTGCTTGTTTTCACAAATTAAAAAGACATTAGTTAATTTGTCGACTAACTATGACGATTGGGCCCCCAAAATGCGTCCTTTGGCTCTATAACCCATCTGCAAAGACTGCATTACTGTAGCTTTCACGTCTTTTGTAAAACAAAGCTGTAAAGTAAAGCAAAACAAAACCTTGTATATTTGTGTCACTACATATTTGTTGATTGATTGACTGTTTATTTGACTTATTGGTTACATGTCTTTACAGCCTCAGAAAGGTTAAAATGGACCAAAGGAAGCTCATGGACAATGCCAACACAATTACAGACATGGCGAAGGTATGTGTGTTTGGTAATTACTGCACGTTAAAATTTATTTATGAGTGCCAACAATTTGTGAAGTTCCACGATTGCAAAAGTTATGAGACAATCCAATTGACCAAGCGCTTTCTCGAAATCCAGCTGGCGGCCAAAACAAATTGGGTTGTCTGTATGTTTATACAGCCTAGAACTTGGTCTGCCCCAACGGGCGACGAGTCTTCCACCTGTAGATGAGAAATTTAGCCAGTGCAGTACAACCACTAACCTGGGGTCTTTAACGTACATCATGTAGTAGTGATACACGACCACACGCCGGTACACTGCTCATCCAGATCGAAGCGGGCCGGGGTGAGGATTGAACCCTGGATCCTGGGTTCTGCAGCGCGAGCTTTCGCTCCACGTGCTTCGATATGGTGTGCGCTAGCCCACTCGGTCGCAGAGTAAATCTTCCGACCATAGCACAGGTCACAGGCTCCTCCAAAACCACAGTTGAGTGCATCTTGACCCAACATCTTGACATGCACAAAGTCTACGCCAGATGGGTTCCAAGATTCATCTCGTGTGATCAAAATGCTCCTGCAACACCCCATCCAAAGATAATTTTATGCTGCTCAGGTTAGGTCCTGAAGGCTTCCATGCCCGGCTTGTGACTGCGGAGAAAATTTACGTCCACCACTTTCTACCCGACAACAAAGCCTAGTCTAAACAGTGGAAACCCCTCCTCTCCACAGCTGAAAAGGGCTCAGTCTGTTCCATCAGCAGGCAAGGCCATGGCCACGGTTTTGGGGGGATTCGGAAGGCGTGCTGCTCAGCAATTACCTTCATAAGGGGCAAAATATCACTGGGAACAACTATGCAGCCCTGATTTATCGCCTGAGGGATGCCACCAGGGCCAAACATTGCGGTATGCTCTGGAGGTCGGTTCTCTTCCATCGGGAAAATGCGCCTCTGCACCTCGCAGCTGTGGCAATGGATGCCATTTGCCACTGTGATTTTCTTGTGGTCAACCGACCACAGTACTCGCTAGACCTCACCTCGAACTTCCATTTTTTCTCCCGACTTGACAGCGTCGCGTTACTTAAAGGTCGCGTGGTCGTAGAAAAGACGCACCACGTTCGGAAGTTTCCTCCGGCGCCTAGCTTTAGGCGCATATTTCCATCTTAGTTTTAATATGGTTGATCTTTGACCGTCTAACTTCGCCGTAAAATAGCGTGGAGAGTTTCGGTTCCTGTGTACTAAGAACTTCTGTATCATGTTTTTTCGACGACTAACATGTTTTAATTCCAATGTACCAGCTAAGGTTACTACATAAATGGTTATGTAGTGGTTATTAGAGTGCTGATGATCACTACATAAATGGTTATGTAGTGGTTATTAGAGTGCTAATTATCACTTTTCATTCGTACCCTGATGTTCGCCGCAGTTAACAACATTATCTCGATGTATTTACGTTTTCTTTTGAAGTGTCCTTGTTTTAAATACTACTCTCAGTCATTGGAGAAGGTCTGAACATAATAAAAATACAGGTACTTTCAAAGGTTCTGTGAAAAGAGTTTAATTCGACGTTTCAAGCAGCAACGTATCAATTTATTTCCGCTCAGAACGTCCTCCAGAGAACCTCTGCCAGCACACGCCTTTTTGTGTGACCTTTACTCCGTCCATTGTTCAGTCAAAACGCATTATTTGTAAAAATTGTTAAAATCCAACTTCCCACACCAGTTATTACACCTTTCGACTCATTCAACTGTACCTTCTCTCGTGCGCCTCGCAGACCCAAAATTCCGTGTACGAGATGGTGTCGGACATGAACGCCCGCCAAGAGCTGTTCGACGAGCGGCTGGCATCGCTCGAAGAGCGGCTGGTCGCCATCCACGAGCAGCTGGAGGCCTTGCCGGACGCCGTGGCGCGATGCTGCCACAGCTCCCTGTCACAGCCGCCGGTGCCGAGCCAGTCCTACCCTCCGGGCTCCCTGCTGCCGTCTCAGCAGCAACAGCTCCAACAGCAGCAGCAAGTGCCCCCGGACTGCGGGGGACCGTACCCGGCGGCCGTGCCAGGACAGCCTTCGTACCCGCCGCACCCTCCCCCCAAGCACACGCACCTGCACCCGGATGACGCGGCGTCGCTCACCTCCAGGCCCAGCTGGTCCTCTGTCAACCTGTCCGGCGGGAGACTGGGAGTCATGGCGCCGCCCATGGTGGCCAGGTCCGGCTCCACCGAGAACTGATGCTCTCCCGAACCGTCGTCCCGGTTGCGCATCCTGACGCCGTTGCGGAGTGGCAGTGTGTGGCAACTCGCGTCCTCTCCAAACAACGCTTCGCTCCGGCTTCAGGATTACCTCTGGGACGGTGCGTGTTGGTGTTGATATCCTGCACGACCTGTCCTGGATGACCTCCTGGGTGGTGGCTGGTACAGCGACAGGGATCGTATGCGATTCCTCGGACGATGCCTCAACCAGCGCAACTGGTGGCTCCCAGGGCAGGCTCGTACAATATCTGAAGAGAACATCGTGAGCTTCTCAACCGGTGCTAGAGGGCCGCGGCCACGGCGGCGATGGCGGCGATGACAAGAAACGGCACTTGCCCGTACACAAGAGTCTTCTTCTTCAAAGTGTCTGGTTGTGCTGCTGTTCATATTTGTTTCCCTCGCAAAGAATGTGATGTGGTCGTTGGAGAGGTGATGGGGGAAGACAGCGAGGTACTGTCGAAGGTACTGGTCCTGTTGACCGGTGTCGCGCCAACGTTCTTGGTGGTGCGCGGTTCATAGGAGCACATCACCTGATTACAGAAACGGACGTTGCGTTTTCATTCCCTTCATCATCCCTCAAGTCTTAACCGAGGAAAGTGAATGCGTGCGTGTATATGTGGGAAGGTGTGACCTAAAAGAGAAGACACGCGCGGGTTCGCGAACGCGGTGTTGTGTCAGGTCCTTCGGAGTCGTCCTGAATGACACATTTGACACACATTCTTAAGGTATCAACATTTCTGGCACTGTCGTGCTTACGCGTGCGACTTAACAAGCACCTTATAAAGATCGCCGGTCGATGTCAACGGCGCATCCCATTGAGCACTCGAAAAAAGTGTCAAAGCAAAAGAGGGGAGCTTATTCACTAGCGAATGGCGATCACCGTAGAGGCTTATCCTAAAGACACCATCTTGTCATACTCTCTATCACACTTTCTCTATAACAACGATCAAAAGTCAAGTTGCCATGAAGCCGGAAGCAGCTTCCTCTCCTGACAGAGAGTCATTTGTTTCTCTTTTCTAGCACCATACTCAGCTTGACACATGCGCAGAAAGCGGTTTAGAGTCCAAGGTCAGGGCATCAGCGCATCTAGTGTACGCTGACATCCCTACAAGGCTATCGTAGAGTGTCATAGACTGCGACGCCGACATTGCTTCCATTACCATTTCGGTCGTCGTGTCACACACTCGAAACTTTGTCTTTTTGGTTGCGAATCTGCACATAAAATGAGTGTAAGCAGTGAACGTAATAGATTTCACTGAGAAGACCAAGAATTAACAGGTCAGATTATATTAACTAGACGCTTCATTTTAAGCGGAGAGTAAGTAACCTTCCCGTGGTTCCAAAGCGTCCTCGACCGTTGTTTAGGCCTTGAAATCGTGTACAAAGTTCTGTTGCTTTTAAGGTAGTTAGAATTCGAAATCTGAAACGACGCCTCGATTTCTCTAAACCGCGTACACATTAAGGCACCATGTCAAACACGTTCGAATATTAGACATTGTCACAAAAAATCACTGAGAGCATTTCTAAACGTATATTTTGTCTGTTGGACGTAACGTATTCATATTTCGTTGTGTACTTTTTTCGTGTTCTTCAAAATAGACTGGTTATCTATCCTTCAACACCTAAGCTAATACTACAAGATTTGAAACTAGTTCACGTACTCCATTTCATTATAAGTACGAGTGAGACCAAAAGTGAGCTGCAACACAAGCCCAAACGCACAAACTAAAAATGCGACGTCAGGGTGCATTCTTCGCGCTTGACTGAATCGGTTGGCGGCAACACACGCGGAGAAACACGAAAAATGCCGTGATCTAAAGCCTTCCGAGAACCTCGATTAGCCCCAGTGACTCGAAGCGTTGGTTGCGCTCGGACTTAAAATTAAACGGTGTATGAAAGTGTGAATGTGATTACGTCCGTTATGGCGATGTGATACAATGTCAACTTGTTATTCTTGCGATGACTACGCCCAAGGCGAGTATTTTTGCAGCTTAGTTTCGATACATATGAACTGGTTTCGAGGCGCCTGGTCTTAAGAACAGATCATCGAAAGTTTCGCAGAAACGTAATCAAACCTAGTCTAACGCAGTAAACGGACGTGACGTTATTGTGTCAAGTCTCGGTGTCAGGTGAACAGACGTCACAAGTAGTAATCCCGTGACCTCGTGTGTCGTAGATCCACGGAAGGTCAAACTGTGGGTAGTTGAGGCTTACGTTATGAAGCATTTTGTACTTTAAGATCTGTTCAGCGAGCATCTTTATACCCTTGCCCCACGGTAAAAGTTCACGCAATGTCCATCATATGACGTTATCTGATATGGAAATCAACGCCAAACTCCTGGCGCAACGGGGTGCACGTAGTCAAGTCTGCGTTGTGCTTCGGGGATCACTTAATGTCATTTGATGGAAATGGCATTAAAGTCTCCCACCTGGCATTGAAATTAATGTCATTTTTTTTTTTTGAAGGCCATTATATGATTGTCCAGACAGCGTGCGCGACGCTCGTCGCAGGACCGTGAGCTGATTCGGCAATCGTGTAATGTCATTCGATGTCAACGACCTGAAACTTTACTGTGCGGCAAGGTCATTATGCGGAGCGCAAGTGTCGTCTGCTACTTTTGCAGCGGTTGTGGTGACGTCAGAGCGCCGAGCTCTGATTGGCTCTGATGGAAGGATAGTTAGTAGATGTCAAAGCAAGCTGCCTTGATGTCTACCTACTATCCTTCAATCAAAACCAATTAGAGCTGCGCGTTCTGAGGTCACCGCAACCCCCCCCCCCCCCCCCCCCCTATTCCCAACAACACAAAGAAAGTAGTGGACGATACTTGCGTTCCGCATAGTCCCTGGCAGCTCAAAAAACGATGGGTGTTGCGAGTCCTAACCATCTTATCGATCCGCAGTCGATCAAATTGCGGCATTAGACGATAAGGAATCCCGGAAAGAAACTCATTGAAGAAAAGCTCACCCATTTTTGAGCGCGTTTGGAGAAAAGCTCGCCAGTGTCTTAAAAGACTCAGGGGAAAGAGCGCCTCCAATTAAATTTGTATTCGAAGTGGTCGTCATCAATTTCAAGTTTATTTGATGAATTGAACAATTTGTTCCCGTATTGGGGGGCTGGATTGAACATCTCAGAGCAGTTGTGGAACAAAAACCAAGGCGCGTCCCGCGCAGGCCGTACACGTGGTATCAATGCAGGGTGCCGTGCTGCAGCCATCGTTCCGCTTTGACGTCGACTGTTCTCGCGTGACTGCTTCCATATTATTTTCTTACATAACGTGAATAGAGGAAATGTCTGATTTTATTTTTATTATTTGCCGACCGGAAAAGTTTAGAAATGAAACTGTAGCTTCCTTAATAAGTTGTGAAATGTGAAGATTTGGCAACGCAGCGCTGGCTACTACATTAAAGGTAATTAAACACATAAGAATCTAGGAACTACTCGAGCTGCAGCCTACTGCGCTAGCTATATTTTCCACCAGCTGTCCTTTAATTATCGTTCGGTAGAAATTATTTTATTTCTGACGTGCAGCCAAAATCATTGAAAAAAAAAAATTATCACCTGGTGAAGGGCAACAACAACAAAACAAAACAAAAAAGGCACGCATATATCATCTCAACGTGCTGATGTTGAGTGAACGCTCGGTTCATAGATTCGTAACTGAGCTTTTTTCTTCATCCGTCAAAATACCGGTGAGCTTTCGCCGCGTCGGACGATTTTGCGGTGAGCTTTTCTCCGCCTTCCGTCGATAAGAACTTGGATGTACGAACCAGGAGGCAGGATGCATGAAGGTAATAATCCAGGCTTTGTGTTTCTTATTTTGTCACTGACCGTAGAGAGCATAAACAACACGTTATTTTTGTAGGTAGAGAACTCTTCGCTTTCAGATCAGTAGCCCTTTTAATGTGACTTTAGACAACAGTCGCGTTGGAACAAACGAATCGTTGATTTTTTTGCTCCAACCTGATGGTAGGAGGCACGCAACCGAAAAGGCAGAGTTTTGGGATGCCTGTGATGGTGGGGACCACAGTTGGGAGTCAGTCATTCATCCGCCACGTTAGCAATGCGAGCTTGACTACACCCTACTTTCTTACTCGAACGCGATGTACGCTACACCATCCTTCTGCGACCCGCGTCCAAACCATTTCACACGTTTTATAGCTACTCCCCGTTGTTACTCGCAAGAGATAGGCCATTGTTTATATCTATGTACTACAGGTCACCCGCCATAAACGCATTGCCACAGAAGCAATGAGAAATGAAACAGAAAGTCGAACGCAAAAAATTAAAGTACGACCTAAGAGAGAAAACAAGACGGCTTCACTTCGGCAGCATTCCTGTGTGACTGACAGTGGGCGAGACCAACGCGATTTTAGGTGACCTTGAAGCTGGTGATCTTCCGGTGACCTTGTGGTGACATTGAGGACCTTGGGGTTAACCCAGGGCGGTTTTCTTGATGCGTGTGGCTGAAAAATGGACCTACGAATCCGTGGTGGCCGTCCAAATGTAAATGTGAAAACACAAAGAGGACTCTACTTACGCAAGCGAATCCATAGCCGATACTATAGAATCTACGACGCGTACAGCGGTTACATTATTACTGCTTCCATCTCCTCTTGTTTATAGGTTGGTAACTAAATGGTGCGTAGAATTCAGTCGTTTGTTCTGCACAGCCTTTTTTTTTAACACGAAAGCGCAACTTAGCATTATTTTTTTGACCGCACCCACTATGTTGTGTTCGCTGTCCATATGAATAGAGGTGTAGCTATGTGTTCAGCGAACTGTTGTGTTCCGAAAGAATCTAGAAGCTTCTCGTCAAATAATAGGTACCCTTAATTATCAATACGGTTCCGTGTTTTCGGGGTCTATAGTTTGCTTCAATATTGGGGTTGTTTTTCGGGCCTTATTCTTTCCCAAACATTCGGTGTTTTTCGGAGTCAGTTTTTTTTTTTGTGTGTATGTTATGGTGAGAGAGACGGGCA